TAAAATATGAGATAGAGAAATAATTTAATTATAATTATAATATAATGAAAAAATAATTTAAAAATAGTGTATTTTTTGCAAAAATAATAATAATAATTTTTTACGGGTACAGGTACGGGTATACCCGATACTTGATAGGGACAGGGATGATGACGGAAATTATATACTCGACGGGTACGGGTACGAGTACGAGGATGGGTTTAAGTCGCGGGGACAAGGACGGGTATCATGAAACTCGTACCCGACCTGTCCCATTGCCATCCCTACCTAACAACATGAGTAGTCTAAGTAATTTTCACCCTACCGAACCAACCCAATCATTTTCACGCCCGAAGCGCCAGCTCGATCACAGCAAAATGGGATACCAATCTCTCTTCTGGTTTCTCGAGTCTCATCACTTATACTAAGAAAGTCTTGTTCAACCATCAGGAGTAGTACAGCTGGGTATGGGTTTACCACGACCTTGGCATGCATTACCAAGTCACATATGAAATTCGTCCACTGATTATACTCAACCACTAACTAAGGATTTGGAGGAGACTCAACACACCTCAAAAGCTACTCCAAGAGACACACCTACTCAAGGAGGGTTTTCCAAACTGTGGCCTACCCAAGCACCACTCCAAGATACCCTATATGGGATCTTCAATTTTCAAAATATTTTTCTCTCCTCAAATCCTAAGTTAGCCATCATGCTATAATGCCACACCGCATTTTTAGTATTCACACCTCACCATACATCTACTATATACATTACATCCAGTCAATGCAAATAGAGATCAAATCAAGTATAGCAAACAAATGCTTAACATCTCAATCAAGAATAGTATATCAATGTTTAACAATTCATACAATAATAACATATAAATGCTTCACAATAAATTCAACATAACATATCAAACATATAAAGCATATCAATGCTCATCACCATTTCAAGTACACAAAGATAGCATATCAATGCTCATTACCATCATCCTATAACACACAACATGTAATAGATACAAGCATTTTATTCATGCACACCAATTTCACCTATCATACAACATGTAACACATGCAATTTATCCAAAGCACTTATTCCTACGCTGACAATCTTCACCTAAAACAACCCATAGGGAATTATACTACTCCAATCATTGTCATCCTTATCTCATATGAAATATAATAAGATTTTCTACAACTCTCATGAAGACACCAAGTCCTAATTCCATCATATACTTTGTTAAAAATTGTAAAAACCGAAACCATTTTCCTAAATGCTGACAGCTTGACCTTTGCTCACTAAAAAGGTCATAACTAAATCTCTAGACCTTCTTTTTGGGTGATTCCAGAGCCATTGGAAAGATAACATTCAAGTCTACAACTTTCATGCAGACCTCAAGACCAAATTCGGTTATCTACCCTCACCGCTGCAACGCTTAAATCAGCGCTTTAGCACTAGATTTCCATCAACTCAGTTTCCTTTCCACGGCCATGGCTGCAAGTTTCTGCCACTCTATTTTCCCTCATGGCCATGGATGCAAGTCTCTACCACCACATTTTCCCCACGGCCATGGCTGTGAATCCATAGCTATGGCTGTGAGTTTCTGCCACTTCATTTTTCCCCCACAACCATGGCTGTGAGTCTCAGAATTTATGAAATTCCATGGTTTTCACCTTTGATCCTCTCCATCTCTTCACCAATCTTCCCTCTAAACATGATTTACACTCAAAATCTCTACCCAATTTGTTCATACAGCCCAGAAAATACAAGAAATTCAACATGCATGCAACCAAATTCAAAGAAAATCATCAATGTTCAACCTTTCATCAAGAAATTGGAACCCCATTGTTCAACATGAAAATCACTTCGAATTCATCCCCCCATTTACAATTTTCAGAATCAAGTCTCGATTTATTCAAACAACCTAACATGAAAATCAAAATCTCAAGTTTTCCAGCTTCCCTTACCTCAATCTCAAGCTCTACGAGGAAGAAGAGAAGAGCGGAGAAGAAGAATGGAGAAGGAGAATCCGTGCGACTCTAATGCTCAAAGTCCTCAACTTCTCCTATTGCTCAGTACCTTAGTGAATCAAAATGAGAGGATGAGTTCAGCAACAAAGAAACATCAAGAATGCAATGGTTTTCCAGCACAACGAGTGAAGGTAAGTGAGTGAAGGAAAAAAAATAGGAAGAGAAAGAAAGAGTAAAAGTGTAACGACCCGCCGTGGCCCCTACACTTAGTGGAATTGCACTAAAAACAGTGAACTAAGATAAATAATAAAATTGGATAACTTATAAATACAAAAACATGAAAAATATATAAAAATAATTAAGTTTTTAAATATTAGGTATTTATACAGTTATCCAAAACTACTATCTCCTAGTGTCAGTCAAGCACAAAATTGTTACCCAAGGTGGTATCTCTGACACTAGGAACCAAAAAATCCACTTCTAGCAGCGGACTCAGCCAACAGCTCCAACCTAGACCGGATCTGCTCCCATACACAATATGATCATAGTCGTCCATCCACATGGAAACAGAAGGGTAAGCTAGAGTTCAATAATCAACCATATAAGTATAGGGAAAATACTATACCACTCATTCATTCAATCATCATCACAAACGACCATATTGTTCAACATAAAAACACAACTCATTCATACAACTTAGAAGCAACTTTAATACAACAACAACAACAACAACAATGTACAACTTAATATTTAATGCGTTGTCACGCATATACAACTGGAAGATCTCCAACAACTGAGGTTGAGCAGTCTAGGTGGCATAAACCCTACCGAATCCAACGTTTGACTTATCTCAATCAGGTCAGGTATAGAACAGCGTTATGAACTTCGAAGAGAACCAGGTATAGACAATAATAGGTGATTGCTCAGGTGTGTCACTTAGACTCGGGGGTCCAGTACTACTGTCAGGACAGAAGGGTTTGGGTATGAGCCTACCACGGCCTTGACTAGCATCACCAATCCACATATGGAGTTAGCCCACCCACTGTCCTCCAAGTACCACGCACCCTCCAGTACCTAGTCAAAGACTACATCTCTAACTAGTTACCTTACTCAAATTGGTCATTCAACCGTGACATGGATCAACTATTTTCATGTCGCCCACACAGTACTAAGGGATTCAACTTTAAAACAACTTTCAACTTATCACCTTAGTACTATGTATCTCAACATAGGACATATATCTTCATCATATGTCCTCATCTTTCCAACTTTACAACAATAGGCAGCTTAACAACTTTGCAGCAATAGGCATCTTAACAACTTTACAGCAATAGACATCTTGCAACAATAGACATTATATACCAACTTGATAACTTCTTATTTAATTATACAACTATGCAACTTTAATAATTTTAACAACATGCAAACAACTTAATTAAACAACTATATAGTCATTACAACATCAACTTAATGCAACTTAACAACTTTATAAACAATTTCAGCAATATACAACATATTTAAAATTCATCTATCATGTCAACTTATACTACATTCTAGCTTCCCTCACCTGAAGATTGGCTTTAAAAAGCCAAGAATCTGAGAAGAAGAAAAAGAAGAAGAAATATCCTCCAAGCTTGACTCTTGAACTTCAATCCTCCAAAAACAAGCTTTCTAGTCTGAAATTCAAGAAAAGATAAAAGACATTAGTGGTCTAGAGAAGAAGAAGAATCATATAGAGAAATTAGAGAGAGAAAGGAGCCCACAGACCCAGAGTCCTTCTCTCTAGAACTTCTCTCTAAAACCTCTCATTCTCCTCAACTGCCCACAATCCCTATTTATACAAGTTCAAGAATGGCCAGAACGGCCCGTTTCGAATCCAAAATGGGTCGTTCTACACCCCTTCATCATGTGTAAAAATCACATGCAGAACGGTCTGTTCTGAAACCAGAACAGCCAGTTTTGGAACTCATCCAGAACGGCTCGTACTCCCTCTAAAACGTCCCATACTCCATCCAGAACGCCCCGTACTCCATCTAGAACGGCACGTTCTCAACTACGATTTACAGGTCAATTTAGTAGTTTGGAACGGCCCGTTCCAATTTGGGAACGACACGTTCTGGGCTACTAAATCACCCATACTGGACTTTTGGGCCTTCTAAATTAACTTACTACGTTATAGAAGGAATAGAAAAGGGAATGAAGGTTTTGGGTCTCACATGTGTAATAGTTAATAAAAGATACTCCACTTAATAACTCATGTTGTATATTAAATTTTAATTATCCAACTGTTAAAATAAAAGTTCTTATGTATAAATCAAGTTTATAAATTTAAAATAAAAAATAAAAAAACATATGATACTTCATTATGTAGATTTAAATTAATGTATAAAATATTTTTATGATTATTTATGCATTTAGAGTTTAGAGTTTAGAGTTATGCTAATAAATATGTTTTATAATTTATAGAAAATATTTAAATTTAACATATATAATTACATAATTATACTTATAAAAAAATAAGACAAAAAATTAGAGTCTATCATAAATTTAATAATATTAAGATAGATAAAATTAAAATTAAAAAGAAAAAAAGATTATTATTTTACTAGTTTTCGGAAAATTTTAAAAATACTATTTTTAAAGGAAGATATTTTAAAACAAAATTAATAATATAATAACGTGTATTATTACGTTATTCCATGCCTTACGTATCTTTTATGGTTTTTAATTAACTAACAAAATTCTTTAAGATAAGTGTCTTAAATTCAAAATTTTACTGTAATTCTCATAGATAAAAAAATATATATACAATTTGAATTTATATTCACAAATATTCCTTTCATTATTATATCGTATTAATTATATATTTTTGATAAGAAAATTAATGCGCAAGGAATAATAGGTTCAATATTTCTCTAATCCAATCCTAGATTTCAATAATTCAGAATGAACTGAGAATCCACGTGGTGTGGCAGTTCTCTTTAATTGCGATCGCAAATGTACTCATTCATTCAATCACCACTTGCCTAAGAAATTTACTTTTCCCACCACCACTCATTCATCGATATTCAATACCCTTCAAATATTAAACAATTTTCTCCCCTCTCCACTTCTCTATATAAACTCGCCACTCCCTCGTTCTTCCCATCAACAAAACCCTTTCATCTTCCTTCACAAACTCTCCTCTTCCAAACACCAACCATGTCCACAATAATGTCCATCATACCCACCTTGCTCTTTCTTTCCTTCACCTTGTCATTGGCCTCGGACATGTCCACCGACAACGAGGTCATGGCCATGTACGAGGAGTGGCTGGTGAAGCACCAAAAAGTGTACAACGCGTTGGGAGAGAAGGACAAGAGGTTTCATGTTTTCAAAGACAACCTAGGATTCATTCAAAACCACAACGCTCAGAACCACACGTACAAACTCGGGTTGAACAAGTTTGCTGATATCACTAACGACGAATACCGTGCCATGTATTTGGGCACCAAGAGTGATGCCAACCGCAGAGTCGTCAAAGCTAAGAAAACCGGTCACCGGTATACCTACGACGCCCGTGACCGGTTGCCGGTGCATGTGGATTGGAGGTTGAAGGGTGCAGTTGCTCCAATCAAAGATCAGGGAAGTTGTGGTGAGTTTCTTTTTTTTTTTTTTCTTCAATCATTTCGCCGTTTCTTTTGGTGAAGATAACGTTACTTATCTGATATGGACTTGATTAAATTTATCTTTAACAGCTTTTTTGCTAGCTAAGGTTACTTATCAGATAAGGAGTTGTTTTAAATTTGACTATTAACAGCTTTCTCTAACTCTGATAAAGATCACTTGTCGTGAGAATGAGATATTCTATCCTTTTTGAACTGCTTTGAGAATAATATATATACTCAGTTTTAAAATTTTATTATTTTTTAATAGTATAAATAACTGACTTGATTGCATGGATTTAATTTTGAAATTTAGCTACAATATGACAATTGGTAAAAAAAAAACTATAATATGACAAAATAAACTAAATTAAAAGAATATATATATATATATATGAAGAAGAATTAAATTATTTTAAAAGTAATTCTTAGTAAAATTACTCTAAACTCATGATGTATATTGAATTTAAATTATCTAAGCATTAAATTAAAAATTTTAATGTATAGATTAAATTTATAAATTTTTTAAAATTTTGAAAATCATATGAGATTTCTTTATATAGATTCAAATTAAAGTATAAAATATAAAATTAAAGTATAAAATATGTTTATGATTTTTTGTTAATTTAATTAATAAAAAAGTTTAATCTATCAATTAGATTATTAAAATTTAACATAAATTATGAATTATTGAGTAGAGTAACCTTAATAAAAGCTACTCTCAAAATAATTTGATCCCTATGTGTGTATATATGAAATTGAAAATGGATGTGTATGATTAGATTTAAAAAAAAATCTAAATTGAAAACAAAAAAACAAATTAAGGTGGCATGTTTTATTTTTTTAAAAACTAAAACTAAACTCAATCCAATAAATTTATTTTAATTTAATCTGCAAAATAGAATTTTATGTGTATATATATCGGTTGACGTGATATATTATTGGGCAAGTCTGAGATTTTCTTCTGAATACTCAAAAAAAATTAATTACTATTTATACTTTTTAAAATTATTTAAAGTCATTTATGCTATAATAAACAATTTTTGCACGTGTAAAGGGTTACAAACCGTCACACTAACAATGATTACTAATCGTTGGATTTTATAATAAATTTGTTACTAATAACTAATTAAAAGTTGATATTAAATTTATTAATTTTTATAATAATTATTTTAATGATAATTTGTTATTTGATTGATAATAATGAAATTATACTTTTAAACATTTTTTTTATTAAAAATTGATAGATTATGGGAGATTAGGTTATGTTTGATTGAACTTTGACGGATAGAGTTGGACTCTTTGTTGGAAGAGGACTGTTAGATTTTGTTTATTTATTTGATTTTTTATTTGTTCTTGACGCAGGAAGTTGTTGGGCGTTCTCAACAATAGCCACAGTGGAAGCAATAAATAAAATAGTGACAGGAAAGTTTATGTCGTTGTCAGAACAAGAGCTTGTGGACTGTGACAGAGCCTACAATGATGGATGCAATGGTGGTCTCATGGACTACGCATTCCAATTCATCATTGACAATGGTGGCATAGACACAGACAAAGATTATCCATACCGGGGCATTGATGGCATTTGTGATCCAACTAAGGTCACTATACCAATACTTTGAATCAAGAAAAAAAAAAATTATTCTGGCCTGATATTTTAAACTCAATAATTGATTTGTTTCTAATGATTGTGAGTGGCTTATGCTGCTGCAGAAAAATGCTAAGGTAGTGCAAATTGATGGGTTTGAGGATGTTCCATCATATGATGAGAATGCTTTAAAGAAAGCTGTGGCTCACCAACCCGTAAGCGTTGCTATTGAGGCCTCTGGCAGGGCTTTGCAACTCTATCAATCAGTAAGATTACTCTTTAAAAAGTTACACGATGAGTACTGCATTGATTTTGATTTGAGACTATGTTCCTAAGTTATGTGTGCAACTTAAGAATGTGATAAGCACTATGCACAACATGCAACAACATATGTGTCATATATATGCTTACAAATTTCTGATTGTTTTTTCTTTTCAGGGTGTGTTTACTGGTAAATGTGGGACAAGGTTAGATCATGGTGTGGTCGTTGTTGGATATGGCTCTGAAAATGGTCAGGATTATTGGCTGGTGAGGAATTCATGGGGCACTGGATGGGGTGAAGATGGCTATTTCAAGTTACAGCGCAACGTGAGAGGCATTTCCACGGGGAAGTGTGGAATTGCATTGGAGGCCTCTTACCCGGTCAAGAATGGCCAAAACTATGCAGTTTCTGATTCTGCTCATGAAAACACTCAAGTGTATATTAGCAGTGCTTGAAATACGTTTGGAATTGGGAAGAGGGACAAATGCTTAAGTTGCAAGAAAGTGATGCTTATGTTACCTTAAATGTTGCTATTTACTATGCCTGTTAGGCTGTTCTTGTACATAGATTTCTTCAGGTGAAAACTGAACCTGAATATCAATTTGTACTGGTTTTCACTCATTGTTATTCCATTTGAATGCTTAATTTGAATTATCCTTATGCTAGTTATAATTCTGATACAGATATTGATGTTTGCTATGACCCTGTTCATCTGTTCTTCGATATGAAAAGCTCGGTGCAGTGTTTTAAATTATCTAAATCAGCACCTTATTGTCCATGCTTGTTACTAAGAGGACTTGAATTGAAAAATATCATTTTTCCATTTTTTAATTGCATATCATTGTGCCTTGACAAGAACATTTCATATTGAGTTGAATAGTTAAAATTAAAAGATAAAAATAAAAAATAAAAATTAAAAATTAAAGAGTCTTATGTTGAGACTTACGAGACACTGATCTATAATTAATCTTGCAGCGGTCTATCTAGTTTATTGATGTTGCTATCACTTTTAAATTTCCTGCAGATGATCTCATTCCGATAAGACTATAATATTCATCAGCATGGAAGATGAAATACTGTTATACTGATAAAAGAATATTAAAATATGTGACAATAAGTTTGAAACAATACTAATATAAAAATACCTTTCTGCCGTATGCTAATGGCAAAGATTTGTATTTTTTCAGTCAAACCGTACACGTAGCTGTCTCGCTAATGTAATCACGAATAGAAAAACCTGTGAAGAGTGCGTGTTAATGACACACGGGAATTGCTACGGTACCCTCAAAGATGGAGGGGTTCCAATACATTTTTCTATGTAAACTCATAAAAAATTTTAAAAAAATTAATTTAATTATAAAATGAATAATCCAAATTAACTTATAAAATAAAAATAAAATAAAATTATAGAGATTAAAATTATAAGTTTTCAATAATATTATAAAATATTAAAGAAAAAGAAAAAAATTAATAAATAGTAGAAATAAAAAGTTATTAAAATTACAATATAAAAATTCAAAAATTTAAGACAAAAAGACAAAAAATATACTTAAAAAATTATTAAAATTAAAATATAAAAATTCAAAAATTTTAAGTGAAAAGATAAAAATATACTTAAAAAATTATTAAAATTAAACTATTTAAATATATAATAATATTATTACAAATAAATTAGAATATATAAAATAAAAATAAAATAACTAAATAATTTAAAAATTAAAAGAATAAAATATCATAAATATTATTTAAATAAATTACTAAAAATATAAAATATAAAAAACTGTACCGGTACCCTCTCAAATAAGATGGGTACCATAGAATTTCTCATGCACATTGGTGCACCCAGGGGACGAAAAAAAGTGACCGAAAGCACAATGCTTAAATGGAAGTTTCATCATAGTATGACACAAAAAGCACATTAGCACGTTGCATACCTACAGTGACCAACAATTTACAAGCTTAAAGGGACTAGAACAAATTGAAGAAAAGGAAAAGACAATGTCATGTCAATTGCAGGAATAACATTTTTTTTTTTTGCAATCTTCTTGGCCAATTTGATTATTACTCTTTGGTACGATGTATTTTACTTAAGTAACGAGTTACCTTCCACATAGGAACCGTTAATCGGCATTACGGTTCATAAATGGAATGCCCGACGCGCAAGCCTATAGTGAACTATAAGTGTTCAATTTCTAACTTAAACTTACGTAGGCAGTTCGGCAGTTCCTACTATTGGTGCTTAACAAAAAACCCTCGCAAACTTGTAGGTACCTACCAAAAAATTCGTTGCAAGAACTTCTAAAATATTTTGAAATAATTTAGTTAATTTCAACTTATATGAAAATTCTAATTTATTCTCTTATAATTATTTGTTGAAAAAATTAGCCAAAATGACTCATGCCATGCATGAGCTTTAGAAGGAAAATCGAAAATATAGTTCCTAAAATTCACATTGATTAAAATTAAAATATATACATACATTATACAAAAGGATAGATGAGTATAACCGCATTGCAAATTGAAGATTTCATTCTGCACAAGCTATCTAAAAATCTCGTTATTTGACTACTAATTCAGGAAGTGGCCTTTGCCTATATAGGAATAGAAAATAAAGGGAAAGGAATTAAGCTAAAGAAAGAGCCCACAGAATCCAATTATATCTCCCTAAATTGAATCTTTCACTAGGCGTAAAAACAACCAAGACGCCCAAAGTCTAAACAATTGCTCAAATGGGAATCAGAAATCACGTTGTCCACACAAGACCTCAAATCAACTTTCTTCAGCTTCCATCACATCCTCAGACTGCTCCAGCTGTTAAAATAGACGGCAAATAATAAATATCAAGCTAAATTTGGTCTGTGACCTAAATGAAGCAAATAATGTTCAATTAACCAGAAAATTTCATCCATCCGAAAGGCTTGTACTTTCTGGTGGTGCTCTCTTCCCATCATAGCGCTACAAGTAAAATAAACAAAACCAAATCTTTACCATTAGCAACAAAGATGTAATTCTGCTAAAAACACCGAATAACGGTTCAAACCATAGAACACCTATGACAACAAAGTTGCCGAATAAAAATGTTATGTTACCTGTTTTCCAGATGAGAACGGTAAATATTTGTATTTAATCATGTGAGATATCTGTTTCCTCATTGTGAGCGTGAATAGGACCACCCAGTAGAAGAGGAGTATTGGCCAGAACACTGGAACATCAAACGCACTAAAGAAAGTCATCACAAATGCAATGCAAAATGCCTTCGTGATTGAATACCTGTTCACAGACAGCAAACAAGCAGATTCAGTAAAAGCAACACCTGCATGTCAAAATCCAAGGGAAAAGCATGAAAAGAAAAGTAAACTAAGAACTTGTATAACTTAGAAGCACAATGCCCAACGAGAAGAACATCAAAATAGCACATTCTTATACTAAAAAATGACATTAGCTTCATGCAATGAAGGAATAGAACACTGTCAAACCCTCTTAAGTTGAAACTAGCAAAGCAAGTAAAAAAGGGAGAGACACTGACAATTAACAAAATTAATCCATAATTGTCACATATAAGCAATGAACAAAATAAACCCATAATTGTCACATATAAGCAATGCTGATTTGTAATGTGAGCATTTCTGAATAATTCCTTATTTGTGGGAATGAAAATCCAGATTTTTGTCAATAGAACTGACAAAACAAGAGCCTATTTGAATACAAACTATAAACATTTTTTTTAAAGTTTTTCTATTAAAAATAATAAGTATTTTACGGTAGAAAAGTTTTCAAAAGTGCTTCCAAGCTTGAGTCTAAATAGGCTCAAAATCTATTTGCTCCTTCCACATGCCTATTCTTTTAGTTTCACATATAACAAGGTTTTAAAAAACAACCCAAGATTGTGATTTGGCCACAATATCAAGGTTGAGGGTGTCTGGCCTGCAGCACAATAGCGACTGTGGTTGTGACTGCAGTTGTCCACAATTTCTCACAATATCAAGGACCATGACAAGGCTGCAACTGAGAGCGCAATTTAAAACCTCGACATATAATAAAAATCTTCCCCAGATAACCCAATTGCTAAGCTCTAGCTTCCATGTGGCCCTAACAGAGTCTGGAGTAAGGGCGAGAGACAGGTTCTGCTTCCTCTTAACTAGTCGTTACTCTCTCGATCCAATGACTTGAGTGTTAAAATTTCTTCATGTGGTCACCACCCCTTAACGCCTTAACCCAACCTCAAGGAAGAAGCAGCACCGGTCTCTCACGCCTACTCCGGGCTCACTCAGTGCCACGTGAAAGCTAGAGCATAACACCAACAATCATTATACAAAACACCAACATTTTAAACTGCGATCAGTCAAAGAAGCAATTTCATCACAATCCTTAATACTTCAAAAAAAAAAAAAACAAACAAACAACTTGCAGAACACACCCATGTAAATAACATAACATAATGGTTTGTTGTGCCGTGGTGGAATTAGGGTTCTCTGGGCGCTGTTTGGGGATCGATGAATTAATGAATCTGGAATCTGAATTGGAGCAAATAGTAATTAGAATCCGAAGGCATACCAGAACTTGAACTCGGGGAGGCGGCGAACGAAGGGGCGAAACTCGTCGGAAGCGGTGGTGGGGAGGGTGGGGCCCTCGGCGTCGACGATCTCGGGGTCCACCTGAGGGGAGAGGAACCCGATCAGAAGGTTGAGGATGTATATGCCGAGGCCGTACGACACGATGTAGAACCCTTCCACAAAGTAGACGCGCAGCGCGTACACCAGCGCCACCCCCGCGAACCCCGCCCACCGCCGTCCCACGTGCGGCGTTATCTTGTCCAGCACGTGCTGGTACTGCCGCCACGCCGCGAACTTCCACCGCGATATGGCGGCTCTCGGTGACGCTCCGCCCGCATCCATCGCTGGGACGGAATCGGAATCAGAATCTCTCTATTCTCTTTGGTTCAACGGCTTGTCGGGTTTTTTCCCCTCTGGACTGCTTACGATTAAACTAAATAAACCCCTCTTCTCTTCTCTTCTCTGCCCAATTTCGGTAATCTACCAATTTTTTACTATCAATTGATCTTATCTTCAACCAAACCTTATAAAGTTCATGTGACTAAAGTTTAGTTCTATTTTCTTTATTTTTTAGTAAAAAAGATTAGGTTTTTTTTAAGGCAATTTCATTAGGGTTCTTTAGTTTTTTTTAATTTATAAAAAGTTTTTTTACAACTTTTTTATAAAGAGGTTGAAAATAAGGTGGTCGTTTTATTGTATATTAAAAACAAATGTGGAAAATGAAAACAACAATAAATGGGCTTTTAACTTGGGTTTAATCATTACGAGTCATGCTTTTTTTTTACACAATTTTTTTAAGTTATATATAAGACTCAAATTTAAAATTATTAGTTAAGCTAAAAAAATTATGTTAATTAATGTAAAAAAGACATTTTGTGTTTATGTATATTTTATTTAAAATAAAAATAAAATAAATAATAAAAATAATTTATATTAAATATGTGTAAGTAATTAACAATTATAAGATGTGAATAAGTTTGACTAGTTAGTTAAAAGATGTAAGATGCTTGAAAAATAAATTTACGAAGAAGTGGAGAAAAAAGAATAAAAATTAAATAGAAAAGGTATGCTTCTTGACTTTGCTTTATGGTGTATGCCTCGCCTATCCCGACTACCAAACAGGTACTATGAATTAAGGGTGTTCACAAAACTATTTAAAACTAAACTTTTTAAATAACTAAACTAAACTAAACTAAAATAAACTAAATTATTTTTTAATAGTTTAAACCAAACTATTACTTTTAGTATAGTTTATAAAACTAAACTATTAAAATTAATAGTTCAGTTTACTAAAACCAAATACAAGCACTGCACATTTACGGAAGCACGGGAGGCTACGGTTCGTCGTTCAAAACTATTAATGTATGTGGTAGAATCATTTTCTCTTAAGCACTGCACATTCACGGAAGCACGGAGGTATTAAAGTCGTAGTGTCATTTTCTCTTTTTTTTTTTTTAATTTGGGATAAAAAAGGGGTAAGAATTTGCTACTATTTTTTTCCCTTTTTCTTTTTTTGGGTAATTTGGGCCTAGATTTGATGCAATTTATGGTGAAAACCGACGAAAAGGCTTGGTGCAAGGTAATTACTTTTTGCACAGCTAATTTTTTCTACATACATAACTTATCTGTCTCATTTTTTTTAAAAGTTAATATGAATTAATTTTAAAATATAGGTAGTTAAAATTTAAGATAAAATGAAGAAAAAAGTAATATAAAAACAATTAATATATGTTTGGATGCAAGCAAAAAGTACTTTTAAACTTAGGTTCAAACAAATCCTTGATGAAAACAATCTTTAACCATATTTTATTTACCTCTAATTTTATTTATTTCTGAACAAACCAAATTAGTTTAAGATAAACAAGAAAGTAGAAGCCAGAATAGCACTGCAGATTCTAACATTGTTTTACAAAAATTATTTTAAATTTAATTTATAATTAATATCAATGATTTGGTAGCTCAATTTAAAAATGTTGATTTTAAATTTATTTTTTTAATGTAGTTCAATTTAGTTATAATTAATAATAATTTAATTTATAATTAATAATAATTTAATTTAATTGATATTATAGTTTAGTTCAAACTCCTAAAACTATAGTGCACTAATCTAGATAATAGTTTAGTTTAGTTTAGTCAATATTTATATTAGTTCAATTTAGTTTAGTGAACTATTTATTATAGTTTAGTTTAGTTTTCTTTTAATTTAGTTTAGTTTAACAATTTGAACACCCCTACTATGAATTATTTGTCTAATTTGTCTTTACAGGTGCATAATGCTTGGATGTTAATTGGGGACATGAACAAGGTTATGTTGACCTCTAAAGTCCAGGGGGTTTTCATTATAATCGAGTTCTTACAATAACTAAATCTATGTGTAGTTGCGACATGGTAGACATGCAAACTGTTGGCTATTGCTCCGGTGCCCTTTTATTTGAAGGGGTTTT